TGTGTCAGATTTGTCACTTTCAATGTGAAGTTTCTTTGCAGAAATTTTTAAAAGCTTTTGTCAATTTAGAGTAGGTGAATGAGTTAAAGCAAGATACTATAATCAGTAGATATACCTACCAGACACTGGTGAACTGCAGTATTTAATCATATAAATAAATTGGCGAGGGTACAATTGTCAATCCCTCTCACTATAGAGCTCCTATTCTTATCTCAAGACATGGATTATGTAGATGTGGATAGCAGAGATTGCTCAACCAAGGATGGGGGATGGGCATGTTTATATGCCACATCCTTTAGGTATTATTCAAAGGTTGCTTCTGAAAGCTTGGTGACATTAGTCAAGGCAACAATTTTTTTGATATGACCCCAGAAACACAGGCAACCAAAGCAAAAATAGGCAAGTGGGATTATATAAACTAAAAAGCTTCTGCAACAGCGAAGAAAACAATCAACAGTGTGACAAGACAACCAATGGATTGGGCACACATATTTACAAACCACACATCTGATAAGGGGTTCAAATCCAAAATATATCAGGAACTCAAAACAATTTGATAGCAAGAAAACAGTCCTATTAAAAAATAGGCAAAGGGCCTGAATCAACATTTCTCAAAACAAGACATTCAAATGGCCAACAGATACATGCAAAAATGTTCAGTATCACTAATCATCAGGATAATGCAAATTAAAATCACCATGAGATATCACCTCACATGTATTAGAATGGTTATTATCAAAGAAACAAAAGATAACACGTTTTGGCAAGAAAGTGGAGAAAAGAGGATGCTTACACATTATTAGTAGGAATGTAAAGTAGTTCAGCCATTATGGAAAACAGTATGGAAGTTCCTCAAAAAGTTAAAAATAGAACTAACATATGATCTAGAAGTTCTACTACTTGCTATATTTAAAATGATATGAAATCAATATATTGAAGAGATATTTGCACTCCCACGTTCATTGCAGTAGTATAGCCAAAATGTGGAATTGACTTAAGTGTTTGCTGGTGAATGAATGGATAAAGAAAATGTGGTATATATACAAAATTTAGCCTTAAAAAGAAGGAAATATTGTCACTGGTGACAACATGAATGAACCTGAAGAACATGATGTGAAATAAAATAAACCAGACACATAAGACAAACACTAAATGCTCTCGTTTATATGTGGAATCTATAAAAGTTGAACTGGTAGAAGGAGAGAGTAGAATGGAGGTTACCAGAGGCTGGGTGATAAGGGAATTGGGGAAATGTCAATCAAGGGATGCAAAATTTCAGTTAGGAGGAGTAAGTTTCAGAGCTCTATTGTAAATTACGGTGACTATAGATAATAATAATATATAGTTGGTGCTCTGTATCTGTGGGTTTTGCATTGATGGATTCAACCAATCTCAAATTGAAAATATTTTTAAGAGCTACAAAAGATAGCAATACAACAGTAAAAAATTTATACACATTAAAAAATACAGTGTAATAATTACTTATGTAACATTTACATTGTAATAGGTATTGTAAGTAATTTAGAGATGATTTAAATTATACAAGAGGATATACAGTAGGTTATATGCAGATACTTTGCTATTTAACATAAGAGACTTGAGTGTCTGCAGATTTGGGTATCTGTAGGGGGTCCTGGAACCAATCCTCCATGGATACCGAGAGACAACTGTATACTTGAAAAAAGATAAGTATGCGTCCTACTTTATATTTTAATTAGCTTGATTTAGTCTTTCCACAATGTATACATACATACTACAAAGCATCAAATTGTATGCCACAAATTATACAATTTTTAATTTTCAATTAAAAATAAAATAAAGTTTGATTCTGGGTTGGGGGAGGGTTTTAATTCCTCAACATATCTGGCTTGTTATTCTGGGAGTAGGGGAGGAAGAAGGAGGAGTGGGCTTTGGTCAATAAATACTTCATATAGCTGTAGTTCTAACTAGCTTGTACTAAAGTGGTAAGAATGGTGAGAATATGAGTGGGGTGACAATGGTGTCTGCTACTATCCTACTAATGGACTGAAGGAACTGGCTGAGAGGGAGGTTGATGATGTATGGGACCTAAGAGGTAAGGGAAGAAAGAGATAAATGGTGTCAGACTGAAAATTATAGATGGAAGAATTATCTGGGAACCCTGGTACCTTGTCTTCAGTCTGGAAGGAAGAAAGGAAGATGGCTGCAAATGTAGACAGGTTTATGGTTTTTATGACAGGAAGGTGTGGGATTAACATTTGCTTTTTTTCTTGGCAACCTGTGGGAAAGGGTCAGCTCTAGAAAATGAGAGAATAAGTTAGGAAGGCAAAGAGATTTGTAGTAGTCACCAAGGGAAAGAAGAGACAAATTAAAGAAATATGAGCAGCATTTAAGAGCTCTGCTAAGGTAAATAACCCAAAATTTATGGTGTCACAAATTTTATGGTCTAGTAGATCATCTCCAGCAGCCCTCAGTAGAGAAGGTAGAGGGGAAAAATGCAAATTGCAGAATTTATTTATTTATTGAATAAATATTTATTGAGCATCTACTATGTGTTAGGCACTGTCTTAGGAGCTTGAGATAAAACTATGACAGAATAGACAAAATTATCTGATCTTGTAGACCTTACATTTTGGAGGGGAAGTGCAGAAAATAAAGCCAATGAATAAAATTATAGTATAACGTGATAAGTACAGAGAAAGGGATAGAGGATGTTGAGACAGAAGAGGGTTTGTCATTTTGTATAGAGTGTGTGGGAAATACCTCCCCGAGAGGTCGAAAGAGATACAGCTATTTGGTTATCTGGGAAAGCATGATTCAGACAGAGGAAGCAGCAAGTGCAAAGGCACTGAGACAGAAGTGTCCATGGTATGTTTGAGGAATGGGCAAGAAACCCAGTGTGAGGACGGGATCAATGTGTGCAAGGTATAAATGATATAAATTAAGTTCAGAGAGATGAAGTTGGAGGTCCACCTTGGATATGATCTTGTGGCCCATAGCTTTTAAACAGATTCAATGTTGGAAGTTTGAGGGAATATGAGGTGTGAGGACTGGAAGCAGGAGTGTTGAGAATGTCAGTGAAAGTAAATTTCAAATGATCACTGAGAAGGGCAGGAAATGAATCCAAGAGTGGGCAGGTAAATCGGTAGCATTATGAAGAATGAGAAGAGAATCAAGAGAGAATGAAAGCATAGAAAGCAAGGGAGGAAGAGTTTCTAGGTAGTGGGTATGCTTATTAATGAAAATTAACATTTATTTAGCATGTGTGATGTGCTAAGTACTTTGTGTTGTTATCGCATTTAAATTTCCCACCCATCTGATGTGGTAATAAATATTATTATCCAAATGTGCAGATGAGCACATTGCAGTGTAGACTAAGCCACATACCCAAAGACATGCTGCTAGTCAGTGGCAGAGCTAGCATTTGAATTCCATCAGTCTAACTTTTATGCTCCCTTCCTCTCTTTTCCCTGCAGTTTTGCTGAGGTATAATTGACAAATAAAAATTGTATATATTTAAAGTGTACAACTTGATGTTTTGATATGCACATACATTGTAAAATAATCAACCCAATCAAGCTCATGGACATATTCATCACCTCACATAGTTTCAATTTTCTTCTTTCTCTCTCTCTTTTCCCTCCCTCCTTCTCTCTTTCATCCTTTTTTTCTTTTTTTTTCTTTCTTTTTTTTTTTGGTGAGCACACTTAACATCTACTCTCTTTGAATGCTGCATAAGACACCTGTGTGACAAGGATAAACACAGACCCATGGGGGAGTGGTTGGTAGGAGGTCATTGGTGAAAGCAGGTGGGAATGGAGGCAGTACTTTGCAGTAATTTAGTGACTCAGTAGATGGCAAGGAAGTGGAGGCAGCAGGTGTTGGATGGAAGAGACAGGGTCATTACGGATAGTGACATCAAGATAATGTAGAATTTTTTTTTTTTAAAAGAGAGAGACTCAATTGGTTTAAAGCCTGAGAGGAAAGTGCCAGAAGAAAACGACACAATAAAGACAAAATTGTGAGTTGAATAAAATATAGAGCAAGGTCAAGGAGCAAGTTTGTAGGGTTGGAGTTATGAAATAGCCTGGGAAAGGAATACCCCATTTCATAGACAAATAACTGAAGACCAGAGAAGTAAATGGTGAACCCAAGGTTATAGAACCAATTAAACAGTAGCTCAGGGACCAGAGTCCAGGTTTTCTGATTGCCAAGACAGGTGCTTTCCACTAGTCCACCCAATAACTCTTGCTGAATCATCCTCTACTGGTTACTTATCCTCAATCCAAAGGAAGTTATTGTAGTTAATAAATAAATACAGTGTAGCCAAAAACCAGTGTAAACACACAACTCTATAAAAACACTAATGACACCTTGTCCTTCCAGTTTCCTTCACAATACCCTCCCCCCATAGCTCATTCACACTGAGTACTGACTTGAGTATAAACTTCCTTCAAGATACTGAAGGTTCCCAGTATTTATGCTAAGCAGGAACTCAGGTGGAGAGAACTAAGGTCACCCTCAGGGAATTTCTTGCTGAATTAGGTTCCACTAAGCCTTGAAATCAAAATGCTTCTGCTAGGTAAATGGGGTGCAGATGGGAAATCAAACCAGTGTGTGACTGGGCATGATTTAGAGCAACTGTTATTGATGTGACAGATCCTAGCAGGCAACCTCATGAGAGCTTGCATTTTCATTGCAATGCAAGCAGATAAAATGAATAATTGCAATTTTGACTTTTGAATTTCCTGTACCTTGCCAGTGTTTATTTTAGCCATAATCTGGGTCATGTATATTCTAAGGAGGCTTTTGATTTAAGAACCTAGATTTTTTTGAGAGGCATGCAATATTCAATGTATCTCTATGCATAAGATTTTATGTAGATATTTTGATGATGCAAAATTTCTACATTATATGAAATATAAGTTTTTTTAACTTTGGCAGAATAACAATAGTTTATTTCTAACATACATTATCTTGGTCAAACATTGAAATTCTTGATTAATGTTTAACTACAAGTATACTCATTTCAAGTGAAGGATCAGTTTCAGGGTTCAGGTTGAAGTGTCTTGATGACAAGAATTCAGGTTCCAAGGAGAAGCCCATAAGGCTAAGGGTATTGGATATAACGGAAAGTGGAAGCTATACCTGACTTCCAGAGAATGTGGACTGGATATAAGATCTTAATCTTCTCTTACCTTACTGCAGAAATCTGGATGGAGAAGCAGTATTTACCTCAAAGAGAAGTGGACCTAGAAGCTTATTTCACTACGAATCACACCGTTTTGCAAGGTACTCGATTCAAAAGAGCCATTTTCCAAGGGCAATACTGTAGAAATTTTGGCTGTTGTGAAGACAGAGATGATGGCTGTGTCACTGAGTTCTATGAGGCGAATGCATTGTGCTACTGCGATAAATTCTGTGACAGAGAAAATTCTGATTGCTGTCCTGACTACAAGTCCTTTTGCCATGAAGAGAAAGAATGGCCTCCTCACACACAGCCTTGGTATCCAGAAGGTAGGCTTTGGGAATGTGTTTCAACATTATCCTCGTTCATAACAACAAGATCTGACAAACTTTCTCCCTCTTTTTCCTTCTTTCAATGAAATAAAAATGATTATTGCAATTGATAAAATACATTTCTTTGGATTGTTAAAGTGCTTTGGTTTGGATGTGGGGTTCCTGTGTAATACGAGCAACTTCAGGAAAGTTCTGATCTGACAGTCCTGAGTGCTGATCGGAATCCTGACCAGTGAGTTTTGAACACTCACTCAACTTATGTAAGGATTACTTAAAACTCTTCTCTCTCTCTCCTTTGTATTGACATCAGGTTTCTCAAGACTTTTTGTGTGTAACTTCTTAGAGAGTCTCAAGAAAGTCACAAGATTTACTATCTTGTGATAGTAAGCAGAAAGTCACAAATCTACTATCCGTAGATTTTAGTTGTTATTTCAAGGGGCTAATGGATGCATGAGCATTAGAAACTGTGGTATTAGTAATGCTATTAAAACCAGGACAAAATACAATAAAGTCAGTCATCCGCTCTACCTAAGTCATACCAAATATATTCTTCATGTGTATTTTTGTTTTGCTTCATTTGTTTTTCCAGTCTTGGACTTTTAAAATTATTAAAAAGAAAGGAGGAATTCATATAGAGTAGTTGAAAAAGTGTAAGGTTAAATGGATAAATACAACATAAGGAGGATGATGGTATTCATTATATTTATTTAATTGGAGGAGAATGACTATGAATTTTGAGCATTTGATATAATCAAGCTCTGCAACAAAAACAAAACAAAATTCTACAACTACACTTAGATGAGGCTTTATTTTTCTGTCTCTCATTGTATGAAATCTCCTCAGCAGAACTTCAGGGTTAATCAGACTTCTCCATCACACTACCGTAAATGGGTGATGGTGGCTAGAAATCCCAGTTAGAAAACATTTTAGGGTAAACTAGGGGCTTGGAATCCTTATTTCAAAACCCAGATGTCATTTAAAAAGTCAGAGCAAGACTCTGTTTAAAAAAAAAAAAAAATCCAGATGCCGTAGCCTTCATTCTCAATAATGCCAACTTGCTTGTAAAATTGAGGAAATGTCTCTTTATGTGTTTACATATGTATTATTTTAAATTTTCCACTTAATTATTATTTATCCTTAGTCTTTACATTTTACCTATAAACAGCGTTCCCTTCTTCCCTCCTTCCATCCTTCTCTCCCTTTCTTTTATCCTTCCTTTTTTTTCTCTTTTGTGTGTGTGTGTGTGTGTGTGTGTGTGAGAGAGAGACAGAGAGAGAGAGAGAGAGAGAGAGAGAGAAACAGAGTCTTGCTCTGTCACCCAGACTGGAGTGCAGTGGCAGGATCATGTCTCACTGTAGCCTCGAACTCCTGAACTCAAACAATCTTCCTCCCTCAGCCTCTTGAGTAGCTAGGACTACAGATGTGTGCCACCACACCCAGCTAATTTCTTTTATTTTTTGTAAAGATGGGTTCTTGCTATGTTTCCTAGGCTCGTCTTAAAACTCCTGACCTCAAGCTATCCTCCCACCTTGACCTCCCAAAGTGCTAGGATTACAGGAACGAACCACTGCGCCCAGACTTTCCTTCCTTTCTTCCTTCCTCTCTCAGTTCCTCCTTCCTCTCCTCTCCTCTCCTCTCCTTTCTTTCTTTCTTTCTTTCTTTCTTTCTTTCTTTCTTTCTTTCTTTCTTTCTTTCTTTCTTTCTTTCTTTCTTTCTTTCTTTCTTTCTTTTTCTTTCTCTTTCTTTTTCTTTCTTTCTTTCTTTCTCTTTCTTTTTCTTTCTTTCTTTCTTTCTTTTCTTTCTTTCTTTCTTTCTTTTCTTTCTTTCTTTCCTTTCTTTCTTTCTTTCTTTCTTTCTTTCTTTCTTTCTTTCTTTCTTTCTTTCTTTCTCTTTCTTTCTTTCTTTCTTTCTTTCTTTTCTTTCTCTTTCTTTCTTTTTCTTTTTCTCTCTCTTTCTCTTTCTTTCCTTTCTACCCCTCTCCTTCTCCCTCTCCCTTTCCTTTCTTTTCCTTTCCTTTCCTTTAACTTTTATGAGCCATTCCCATCTTTCTCCAAAGGTAACCTCCTTTAAAAACAGTTTGTGTACCCTTTTACAGCAGGTAGCCTTGTTTTGTGTGCTTGAATTATTAATTTATATAGACCATATTATGCTACAGACCTCATTCTCTTTCTTGATTTTCTCAGACAGCAGCATGTTTTAAGACCCTCTCCATGTCTCCACGGACTACTGGGACTAGTCTGTGGCTTCTGACTGATGCTTAATTCTCTGTGATGTCCCTTCATCTCATCTAACTCCCTGTTCCCTCCATGGTGGGTGGACACCTAGGTTGTTGACAGCTCTTTGCTATCATAAAGAAGTCCATGATGGACAGCCTCATGCATGCCTTTTTATCGACTTGCATGATACAACAAGACTTGAATTGCTGGGTTGCAGGTATGCAGGTAATCTGCCAGATGGCTCTCAGAAGTAGCTGCATTAGTTTATGGTCCCCTAGTACTATATGGGGACACACCTCTAACAATTAATATTATGCAGAGAAGTAACCTTTACTTATATAATCAGTAAAACATGATTTCTCATTGTCATTTTAATTTGCATTTCTCTAATTTCTAGTAGGTTTGAGCTTCTCTTCATAGACTCATTAATGTTTGTCTTTCTTCTTTCTGTGACTTACTTTTTCCTATCCACAGCCTTGTAGTATAACTTAATATCCGGTACAGCAAGTCAGCTTATTCACCCCCCGCTTTTTTAAAAATGACTTAGGTCACATAGACATTAATCTTCCATAAACAGTTTTTGAATAAGTTTTTCTAGTTCCTCAAAAGCACTTCAGCTAGAATTTTGAATAGAATTGCATAAAATTTATAGACGTATCTGAAGATAGTTGAACTCTGTAATGTGATGACATCTCATCAAAGAGTGTAGGATATTTCTCCACTTAGAGTTTTAAAAATACCCTCAAGTAGATTTAAGACTTTACTCTATAGTGGCCTTATAATACTCTTTGTTTATTCCTGGATATTTTAAGATTTAGTTTGTATTGCTTTTTTTTTTTTTTTTTTTTTGACAGAGTCTTGCTCTGTCACCCAGGCTGCAGTACAGTGGTGCCATCATGGCTCAATGCAGCCTCGACCTTCCCCAGGCTCAAGTGATTCTCCTGCTTTAGACTTCCAAGTAGCTGGGACTACAAGTGCCTACCACTATGCCTGGCTATATTTTTGTTTTTTTTTATATAGAGATGGGGTTTCTCCATGTTTCCCAGGCTGTTTCAAACTCCAGAGCTCAAACATTGTATTGCATATTTTAAAAATATATTTTATAGTTGGTTGACTGTTGTTATGAATAAATGCTATTTATTCATGAGAGCTCAAATCCTATGTGGCAATTTTTCTCAATTCCGTTATTAGGAACAAAAATGTATTTCTTTATCGCAGTAAAGATGTCTACACCAAAACTCCAAGTAAACATCATACATAATAGAGAAATGTAGATATGTTCCCTTTAAGACTAGTAATAAAACATGGATTTCTACCTTTTTTGCTACATTTAACAGGGAGATATTTGTTATGCTTTAAGAGAAAAAATGAAGTAAAACAATCTGAAGAGAAAAAGTAAAACTTTTATTATTTGTAGATAATGTGGTAATCTATATAGAAAAAATAAAACCAACAGAAAATAGCATTAATATGAGTTAGAAATATTTAAAAACCAGAATTTTTTATTAAAAAATCCAGATGTTTAGCTACTCTTGAAAAATTGAAAAATCTGACAATTCTGCGTCCAGGGTCTCGCACGAGGTTGTCATTGGTTAGAGAGATGAGTGGTGGATGCCACTTTTGGTAACATGTGTATTTTCCATTTCCCCACATACCTTACCCCTTGCTATTTTCTCTCTGACCCACTTCTCTCATTTCTGCCAGGGGTCAATATGTCTGTAGTTTCTGTAAGTGGAACTTACCTCAGTTTTGCTCAATATACAACTTACACAACTGTACATGGACCCTTGGGCCATTACTATTGCAGGTATTTTGGGATTGAAAGAAGGTAATTTATTTGAAAATGGAAGGTATATTTTCATTGAAAAATAGAAAATACATGTTTAAAAATAGAAAATACATGTTTAATAGAAAATACACCTTTAAAATGCTAATTTTAACTTCTCTATTTTGTCATGTTGGTATGATCCTTAAAATAATAGGTGAAGTTAATATATATTAGTAACATGATGAGAAAACATAAGGCATCATAAGGAGCCCTGTGCCCAGGATTAGTTAGGGATCATATTCCTGTTTTTCAAATGTAGTTTCTAATAGTGACAAGATTGGGCAGTCAAGGGAAATTCACCCCTCATAGAACCTGAACACACTACATATTTAATTAACAGACCCTTCCGTAACATACCCTGAGTAGCATGTTTTTTCTTGTCTCACTGAACATACCCTTCCTCCTCCTTACACACTAAGATTTATTGAATACTTACTACGGAGCCAACAACTGTTCTAAGCACCTTTCAGGTATTAACTCATTCATCATTTAATTCTACATTGTTTAATAGAGTATTACTTTATTTTAATTGTACAGCAACTTCTTGAAAGTAAACATGGTGATTTACTTATCACATACTAATTATGGTGCCATGAAGTGGGAGGCCTAGTAAATATTGGTTGAATTTGGATTAATTGGTATTTAGAGGATTTTAATTTTATTTCAAATTTTGTATTTGTTGAATTAAATAATTTCCTCATATGATTTAAAATAAAATATTTTCATAAGTATACTTTTTCATACATAAAGTAGTTTTAAAAGATTTAGAAAGTATCAAAGTATTATTGTTTATGGTTTAAATGTGCAATTTCTATATTATTTTGGATGTTGGAATATTAACAGTAGTAATTGATAGTATTTAAAACTTTTTATATATCCAAGATTGCAGTAAGCATCGAGGGTCATAAGAAAAGAGTATTATAAAGTCCCAGGCCTTGAGAAACTTAGGATCT